TCAGCTCTGCAGAAACACAGGGGAACACATCCCTGCGGCTTCCCAACAAGCCTGTATCTCACAGTTCAGTAGTCCACAGGGTGGTGAGTATGGAATGATTTTCCTTGATTTCAACCTCTACCAAGCACCTTGTAGGTGGAAGTGGAGCACCAGCTGGGCACTGGAGTGGCTCTGATTGCGAAGCATCACCCCCTGACGCTACCCAGCTGCAGCACTCACATTCCTGGTAGCTGCCCAAGGTGGTGGTGCTGTGCCAACTGCCATGCCTAGGTTACTTCATCCAGTCAGCAGAGAGGTACCTTATTAAAGGGGGAAATGAAGACACAGAGATTGAGCAATTTGGCCAAGGTCATCCATTCAGAAACAGAGTTCAAAATAAGAAAGATGCAGCATATTCTGAAACACATGGCTGGAAGCTGATAGTGATTTCTCCTGTGGAGCACACTGGGGAAAGTGGAGTGGGGCGGGCCTGATGCCCAGTGAGGAGGCGTGAGAGTGTGTGCTATGCTGAACGCACAGGTGGTGGCAAGTGTCTCACTGCAGCTGGACATCCATTAGGCACAGCTTGAGAGGGCCTGAAAGGCACTGCCGATGTGGGTAGTGTAACTGATTAGCACCCACCATTCTACCCATTAGCATGGGTTGACGGGCTGACTGGTAAAGGACAAGTGCAGTGATGAAGAAGGAAGGGTCAGCCGTGTGCTTGATCGGAGGGCCCTAAGCATTTTAGCCCAGGTTTCAGAAAATGGAGACACAGTGACAGAGGAGCCAGTGATGGGGGCTTGCTAGCAAAGAACCTGGCTGCATTTCCAGGTTTGACCTTGAACTAGCCACTCTGGGCCTCTGTTCCCTCTGGTGTTCCACCTCACTCCAAATGTGTTGTGCCCTAAAAACCTCATCACGAACACAGCGATTTGGGGCAAGATCAGTGGTCAGGGATCAGGAGTAATGTGCCAGACTAAGCTGGCAACGAGGGCCAGAGGTGGTTCCAGGTCTGGCAGATAGAATTGTGAACAAGACAAGCAAGGGGACAGACCAAAGGCAAATAAGTGAACAAATGAGCTCTGATTGTGAAAGGTGTGGCATGGGAAATAAACAGGATGGAGAGCGCATATGCACGTGTGTGTATGTGTGTGTGTATGTGTGTGTATGTGTGTATGTGTGTGTATATATGTATGTGTGTGTGTATGCGTGTGTGTATGCGTGTGTGAATGTGTGTGTGTGCACGTGTGTAAGGGGCACCAGTTGGGATAGATCACAGAGATGAGGGAATGAAATGGGTTGTTACGGTAAAAACGCTGAAATAGCAGCTGTAATGTCAATAGTAGACATTCTGTCTGTGGGTTACTTTAACTGGATCCAAATAGGTCACATGGTGTTTTCTATCTGTACTGGGTTGCCATTCAAGTTAGAAGATGCAAAAATTTTTTTTTTTTTTTTTTTTTTTTTGAGATGGAGTCTCGCACTGTCACCCTAGCTGGAGTGCAATGGCAAGATCTCAGCTCACTGCAACCTCCACCTCCCAGGCTCATGAGATTCTCCTGCCTCAGCCTCCTGAGTAGCTGGGATTACAGGTGTGTGCCACCACATCCAGCTAATCTTTCTTTGTGTGTGTATTTTTAGTATTTTAGTATTTTGTATTTTTAGTAGAGACAGGGTTTCACTATGTTGGCCAGACTGGTCTTGAACTCCTGATTTCGTGATCCGCCCACCTCGGCCTTCCAAAGTTCTGGGATTACAGGCATAAGCCACTGCGCCCAGCCACAAAAACCTATTTTTTGTTGACAAAGAGGTCTTCTAATATCCCTTCTGATTCCTCACTGAACATAGAGAGGTATAGTTAGCATTCCTACAGGTAAGGAGAAGACAGACCTGAGAATGATACATAATACATCCAACTGCAATTTATTGCAAGTCTTTTATGTGTCAGGTATATTTTAGACTTTTCATGATTTGGGGAGAAGGAAGTAGGAGGAAGATACAAAAATGAATAAAGCATAATTTGTTCACTTAAGGAGCTTACCAGCTAGTGGGAGAAGCAGTCATGTAAATAAATAACTACAGAATTGTGTAGTAAGTGCTCAGAGAGAGGAATGTGTAAGCTGATGTGGGAGTGCAGAGGAAGAAGCCATCAACTCAGTGTGACAGTAACTTCAGTCCTTGGTGGCAATAGATGGGGTGCGCATCAATAAAAATAAATTCTCCCTGGGGGAATCACAGCATTATGGTTTACACAGTTCCATTCCTAAGAGAGCATTTCCTAAATATTGCTGGATGTGGATGCCTGAGTGCTATATTAAAAGAAATCACTTCAAATGAGGGGACACTGCCAGTCTTATTTTTTTTTCTTTCACTGAAATTGATAATCTAAAACATTATTTTCAACCGCTTGTGGGAGAAAAAAATCCTCACCCCCAAATCAATGGGGTATTGACAGGCATCCCTGCCTGACGGAGTGGACCAGTCAACTTGCAATAGGCCTGGAAATGAATGGGTACTCCCAACGTGAGTTCTATGGAGTTATTTCTTACACCTTGCATACTGCCAAGAACGATGAGTAACTCCTCATGAAAAACAGGGCCTGACAGAATTACTAAAACACTGGTCGCCAAGGGATGATATGGGGTTCACAGACATCCTAGAAAACCTAAGCAAAGTGTGATTACTGAGGCCGAACATAGGCTCCGCCACTCCTGGCTGCTCACACACAAATGAATGAGACAAAGCTCTGCCACTAACCAGATGAACAAGGCAGTCTAGTTTATTAAGAAAAATGACCATTTTTCTAGCACTAAAACTGCTTGGAGAAATTTATCCTATGAAACTTTATGCAAGAGACATAGCAGCAGATAGTATCTTCGATCATGGTCTCTTAGATCATGTCTCGAAGCTGAGACATACTTCACAGGGCAGTTATTTTTATTAACCTTTCATAAAAGGCGGAGGGACTAAGGTCATCTGGGAAGACATTTCAGCAGGGAACGAAAGTAAAACAGTTTCGCAGTGTCGTCTTCTATTCAGAGACTAGGTGCAGGAGTTGCTGGTAGGGAGTGCAGAGGAAGGGCCTGCTGGCTGCTCTCCATGAGCCTGGAATAAAACTCTTGGCTGAGCTTTGAGAGGGGCTGGAGAGTACACAATTAACTCAGAATACACTGCCTTCAATAGCTGGCCCAGCCTGTGAAGGAAGTCTTACCCATTAGGATACTGAAGAATGTCTGCCCAAAACGGCAATTTGGGTTTTAGCATAATTGACATTGGACTGTTTTTGTATGAATCACTGAAAGAGCCAGGGTTTGGCAGCCAAGACAGACTTGGGTTCAGGCCCTAGCTCTGCCACTTGCTGCTGTGCTGCCCAGAGAGAGTCAATTGTCTCCTAACCTTCGTTTTCCATCTGTGAAATGGAACCAATAATACTTTCAGGATTGGTATAGAATTGTGAGTGATGTGTGTAAAACACCTGGCAAAGTGCCTGGCACATATGAATTGGCATTTTACCAGTGGCAGCTGTTACAGTAATAATCATGAAAGGACCTTGTGCAGTAGCAGGGGAAGACACACGCATCAAAATCAGGAGGTTGCGTCTCTCCCACTGCGGCAGTAGGGTTTGCATGCAATTCCTTAAGAAGTTTTGTCCCATTTGGTAAGCAGCAGGTTAAAAGAAGGAAGCCAGGACATTGCCCTGCTGTAAACATCGGCCTATTCAGACCTCATTCCTACACCTTCCAGTGTTTAGCTATAGGGCATGAGGACCAACATCAGGATCCAAAGTCTCCTGAGTGAAATCAAGGGATGAGGCCCGACCACTGTGAATAACCCCTGATGGGTGGGGACACCTGGCCTGAGTGCCCAGAAGCCTAAGGCTGTGATAAAGAGGAGGCTGGGTGGCCGAGAGGCATGTGGGCGTTTAGAGAAATCTTGGAAGCTCCCCAGCAAAGGCTGGGAAAATTGGCCAACGGGCCCTGTGCTCACAGGAGGGGAAGGATAGGTCAGAGGCTGACAGGTGCCAAGGGAAGGATCAATGATGTGTGTGGCAAAAAATCCCAGTGCAACCCCCTACTGGCAAATCCCTCCGGGTCTTCTCCATTCTCATCTTAAGCGAGGAGACCAGAAGCTGGGCGGCTCCCATCCCGGTGCTGCTTTTACCAGTTGTGTAATCCTGAGCAGATCACTCGTTCTCCCCTGCCTCAGTTTCCTCCTCTGTGAGATGAGATTGAGGACACCTGCCGTGTGGGATTGTTAATTTAATAAAGTTGATTGTGTGAGGAGCTTTGCACTTGACAAAGAAAAACATAAATGTTGCGTTTATTGGAAAAGTCACCGATTTGAAAGGCGAAGCTGATTCTCAGCCTTCTTGAGTCAGGGGGACTGAAGTTGGTACTGCCCAGGAATATTCTATGGGATTGGATTAACTTCAGGCAGTTGGCCACCTATTCTTGTTCCCCTTGCCTTCCCTTAGTTCTCACTTCTTTCATTTTCTGCACCATCTGAGGTTGCTGGTTAAGCAGTTTCAAAGGAGCGTTTCAAGTTCTCCTTCCCGTTTTCTTTTTCTGCGGCAGCCTGGGTCCCGAATGACAGCAGAAACGTGCTGCCCCCTGGTGGCCACCATCGAGCATAGCGCGTCAGGAGGGACGCAGGAGTAATTCTTGCAGAAGCTTGAAGCTGAAGCTACCCTGCTAAGACTCCGGCAGTTGAAACTCTTCCTCACCCTCTGAGTGCCTTGAGTTCAGTTAGCTGAACTCTCCTCTTTCCCCTGGGGTCTGGAGACCTCCTGACACACTCGGTGTGGATGGAGGCCTGGTGGGTGAGGCTGAGCGCCCAGAGCAGTTCCCCTTCGTTGGGCAGGATTTCCTGTTGCTCAGAGTGAAGGAACCTTGACCTCCCTTTCCAGGCCTCGCCCTCCCTCCCACCAATACTGGCACGGAGTGAAGCTCCGTGTGCTCAGACTGCAGGCTGTGAGTCTTGGGCTCCTTGGAGTGGCTTCAGTGGCTGGGCCCTGGTTAGGAGGCCCCTGTAGACGGCGGCCCCAGGTCAGCCCCCTGCGCAGCGCGGGAAAGCCCAGCCTCTTCCCTGGGGCTTGATGGAGAGGCAGAGCCGGGAGCGTGGAGGGGACTACGGGAGCGCCACCTTCAGGGCTGACTCTGAGCACTTGTTTTTTCTAAGCCCCTGCTGTCAGCTAGCAAACATGAAGCTCTGTAAAAATATGTCTTTGGGGAAGTGGTGATGGGGTTAAGAGGAAGTGAGCAGGCTGATTTTGTGCAACTCTGCAGGCTGCCGTGGGGTGGGAGAGAGCCCTGGGCAGAAGCCGCCACCTTTCGCCTGCCTGGCATCCTGTCTCAGCTGCTCGTCGACCAGTTCTAGGGCTCCAGAGGTCTTTTTCCTGGGCTCCTGCTAACACTGCGTCTTGCTGTTTTTGTAGGCCGGCGGCTGGGGTTTTCTAGGCTTTTCGGAGAAGCTGCAAAGGATCAGACGAATCATCTCTCCTGCCAGCCTCTCAGATGGTTAAGCAGAATCGCAAGGACAAGGTTGCACTCTTGTAGTTGAGCCCCGTTGCATCAGCCCCAACTAGGCCCCAGGCCAGGGTTTGGGACAGATGAGGCCTTTCCCTTTCCCCTCCAGTCACTCTTCCCGTGATTTAAGCCAGTGGTTTCTCCCAGACCTTTGCTTCCCTAATGGAGTTCAGGTTCTTTTAGTAGAATTTTAAAATTTATTTTTAATTAAAAAAAAATAGAGATGGGGTGTCTCACTATGTTGGCCAGGTTGGTCTTGAACTCCTGCTCAAGCAATCCTCTCACCTCAGCCTCCTGAAATGCTAGGGTTACAGGCTGAGCCACCACACAACCAGCCTCTTCTAGTAGAATTGAAAAAGCCATGGCCTTTCTTTTAGGTGGGAAATTCTCCTGAACCACAGTTAATTTATATATCTTTTTATTAAAAGAAAAAACTGGCACCTTGATCTAATGAAAATGGTTTCCTTTCTGGCCCAGAGCACCCCAGACTTACCAGCAGCCTGCTCATGCAATCATCTGTTTGGTCCTGCCATCTCTTCCTAGCTCAGAGCAGCTGCCAAATCTACATTATACTTGTGCTTTGTGCCCATAGTCTTGGTGGCTACTTTCTTTTTTAGATCTGAGACTACTTTTAATCGCTACTGATTTTGATAGCATGGTAACATCAAACCCGTGGACTCCTTGTACTTTTGAAAGCTTTGTGTAGTTCATTTGCTCATTTACTTACTGAGAGCTGGTGTTCGGAATCTGGGCTCTGAAGCAGAAGCCTGGGTTTGAATGCTGGCTTTGCCACTGCCCAGCTTACAACTTTGGGCAGTTATTTAACCCTGCCAAGCCTCAACTTGCTCAGCATAGCGATAGTATCTATTTCATTAGGGAGCATTGAATGAGTCTGTGCATATAAGCTGCTTAACACCTAGTAGTTGGTATGATGGAGAGTACTTTAGAGTCCTTGCTGATTTATTGTTTCCTTATATACCCAGTGCCAAGTTTATGCCACCTGATTCACTGAAGTGCCTTCCTATTCATTCATCGAAAAGGTACTGAGCACCTACGATCTGCCAGGCATCATAGCAGGGGCTAGAAACGCAGAAATGGAAAGTGGTGGTCCCTGTCCTCCAGGAACTTACAGGCGAAGTGAGGAGGTCATATACACACAGCACAGGGGCGTCTCAGGGGAGAGGCGAAGTCTGGGAAGTTGTCTTCAAGGTCCTGTTGGGGAACAGTCTTGAAGGAGAAGTATTTGTTTTCTAGGTGGACTTGGGGGAGAAGGGTCCTGCAAACCAGGCAGAGTGTGGGCACAGGGGAGAGGAAGTGAAAGAGGATGACTCTGAGCTTCGAGTTGCTCAGCATATTGGCGCCTGATGGTGTCTGTGGGGACCCAGGTGACAGGAGACTGCAGAGGCTGGGAGACCCGCCACGAAGGGCGTAAGCCACTCCAAGGAGTCTGGACTTGATCCTGAGGCAATACGGAGACTAAATGGTTTAGAAGGGGCAGGGAATATCCTGAGTATTGAGCTCTGGTGTGGTTGCTGTGGCTGCCTGAGGCGTGGGGTAGGAAGCTGCAGCGTCTCCTACTTGAGATGTGATGAAGCACGTGACCAAGAGTGGCCATGCGCCATGGGCTGTGGGTACAGTGGGGGAGAACGGGCAAATGAGGTGACCTGCTGCCCCAGACTCTCCGTCCTCTTTCCCAGATTGCCTTTTGGTTTTCAGTCCAGGGCTGGGCCGAGTTCTAGGCCAGAATGTTAATTGACTGTGAAAGTCCTTCCCCTCTGTTCTCAAATCACCCCCCACCCACCGCAGCAGTGATGGACCTTGTCTATTCAGAGAACATGAAGGAAGGGCTTCCCTTGTTCACAGAAAAGAAATTCCCATGGTGCATGCAGAGAATTCTGAGGGTAGAATTCCCAGGTGGGCAGAGGTGGCTAGGTTGGTGACCCTAAGTAGGTCTCCTGCCTTTCTTCTCTCTAGTGGGTCATTCTTTCATGTGTTAGCTTGCCTGCAGCATGCTGTGTTTAGACACAAGCCTCTTTCCTTGGTTTCTCTGACCCAGCTGAGATGGACTGATTCCAAAGGAACTTACCTATGTACTGGAGTAGGGGAGGGAGGGTTATCTGCAGTGTTTAACTGGGATTCAAAGAGTGCTATACAGTGAGAAAGGCTGTTTTGTTTTCTCTTGGTAGCATGCAGCCTCCTAGAAATTTCTCTCGGCAACTTTCTTCTCTGAAGCACAGATAAAGAAAGCGGTTACAGTAAAAACATTTATGAGAGGCCACATTGGAGGCTGGTGAAGTTTTTCAAGTTCCAGCAGTGCAGGGATGTGGGCAGAACTGACACTGGGAAATACTAGAATGATGGAAATTCATTTGGAGAGAACTGCCCTTTTTAATGTCTGGGGAGTTTGCTCAGGGAGAAATGACAAGTCTGGCAGGGATGAGCATGGGATTTGGTAAGACTTGGATCAACTTGGGATACAGCAGTGAGGGGAGGGGGCAGAATCAATGAATGATGCCAAAGCAGAGCACCCAAAAGGAGGACGCTGACCGGCCCCAGGCAGAGGCCTCTCCCTTATGCCCGTTTCCAAAGTGCTTGTTAGTGAACACCAGAACACCATTGTTGTTACTGCTGAATTTTATTTTGGGCTGTACATATTTAGATGCTTAAGGTAAAGATGATAAAGCTCTCAAGCTCCTGTGTGGCCTCAGTCCAAGAGTTCCTTCCCGCTGCCTCTCTAACATGCCTGGTTAAAACAATCCCTTTGTGTGGTGTTGAGACGCACCTGAACCAGACAGGATCCCCAAATAACAATTGCTTTCAAGTGTCTGGTTCCCAGAAGTTGACGACTAGGTGAGGCATTTTCAGGGAGAGGGGGCTGATTTCCAGACTGTTGCCTGTTCCTGTAGGGTGGGGCTGAGGCTTGGGGAGTGTGGGCAGGAGGGTATGCCATGTGATTCTGATGCACACCTTCCTTTTCCTTCTTTCTGTATGTCTGGTCATTCTGTTATCCTGTCGTTCCTCACATAGGCTGGACACTGGCCGGCTGCCAGTGTAAGGGCCAGCGTGATTTTGCTGGGGTGTGGGCAGCAGAGAATCTTTGCTTATCCCTTTGACCAAGCATCTCTGCTGCAAAGGCTGGGTATTAGCTGTGCTCATCGAGGCGTCAACTCATGCAAACACTTAGCAGGAATAGTTCTGGCTAAGGTTAGGAGGCTGCCACCAAAGTCTCTTTTTTGTTCCTCTTCTTCCGTTTGCCTTTTTATCATGAGATCTTTTTGCAGCTGGCAGAAAGATTGCATAGTCAGTGCTTCCAGCTCCCCCAATCCTGCACTGTCATCTGGTCCTTGAATAAATGAATTCTGATACCCGATCTCGTCTTGAGCCTTCTCCATGCTACTCCTGACTCCTCCTCTGCTCTTTCCATCTTTTTGCTGAGAGTTCCTGGCTCTGTACTTCCTCTTGGCCCATCTCACTTCCTGAAACACCCTGAAGAGGGTTGCTTATCTCGATGGAACTAAAAAAGCTGAAGAGGCCTTGACGGACTCTGTTTGGGGAACTAGGAGCAGCAGCGCTTTCAGATTCAGTCCATGTAGAACTGTCCTCCAAGGTTCTGGGAACTCGAGGACGTGTGGCACTCCAAGGGGCTGGAAGTGATCCACCTGTGATGAGCCCTTTCTAAGGAGAGGGGTCACCAAGAGATCACCCCACCAGAAGAGTAGGAATGAGTGAGTTGTGAATTTTAGACTGTCACTGCACATGGACCTCTGGGAAGACGTCTGGCGAGAGCTACACCCATTGACCCTACGGACGGATCTTGCTGGCTCACCTGACCCCGTGGAGGTTCCCCTGGGACGGCAAGATGTCCATCAACAGCACTGCTGTGTCATTGGGCAACATTACCTACATCACCATGGAAATTTTTATCGGACTCTGTGCCATAGTGGGCAATGTGCTGGTCATCTGGGTGGTCAAGCTGAACCCCAGCCTGCAGACCACCACCTTCTATTTCATTGGCTCCCTAGCCCTGGCTGACATTGCTGTTGGGATGCTGGTCATGCCTTTGGCCATTGTCATCAGCCTGGGCATCACGATCCACTTCTACAGCTGCCTTTTTATGACCTGCTTGCTGCTGATCTTTACCCACGCCTCCATCATGTCCTTGCTGGCCATCGCCGTGGACCGATACTTGCGGGTCAAGCTTAACGTCAGGTAGCCTGCGGGGTGGGGTGGGCAGCGATTGAGGCACATGGGAAATGAGGCTACAAAGCCCAGAGCCCAGACTTTTTGAATGAAAATGAAACCAGATTGGCCCTTGATGCTGAAAGAGGGCAATAAGTGTCTTTTTCTGATATGGTCTGCGAGGGGGTTAGCAACAATGCGTTGGAATTCAGGAGCTAGAATCAGAGGAATGCTCCGATCTTGTCTCCACTGACTAGGGGTGGGTGCTCAGTCCCCCCAGCTATAACCACTAATCACTGGCCAAAAATGATGAAATCTTGATGCATTTTTAATTCGTAAAAAGTGCTCTTGAATTTTAGAAATGATAAAAACCTGCTAGATAAGACGTACTATTTTAGGAGAAGCAGGCAGATAAGAATAAGAGGAGATAAACTGATGGTTTTGTTGTTTTGCAAATGTAGGTTGTTATTTTATCTTTGCTTCCTGTTTTGTACCCACTTCAGTTTGGGTGTGTGTGTGTGTGTGTGTGCATATATATACATATATATTCCCCCCCACCCCGAGGTGTGAGAGCTTTTTTCCCCCCAAAAATGTTCTTCATTACATGTGACCATATGAAGAGAAGGGACTGCCAAATGGAGAAATCTCCTTCCCCGGGTGACCTAAATTGCATTGGTCTCGTGTTTCTTCTCACTTCTCTTGAGGAAAGAGCACAGTGAGGGAGCTACAAAGAAGCTTTAGATGTAGACAGGTCTAGGTTCAAGTCTCAGATTGTGAGATCTGATCTTGGACAAGTTGTTTGACTTTCTGTCCTTTGGTTTCCACTCTGTGTCACGGTGGCTACGATGCTTGGAACTCAGACTTACCTTGTTTAATTTTAGCCCCACCACTTCTAACTTGTGTAAATTACTTCTTTATGTTTCACTTTTTAATCTATAAAATGGGGATTAATTGGACTTTCCTCATAAGATGAAATGAGTTAACATATGTCCAGTACCAGTCACACGATCTGTGCTCAATAAATGGTAGGTATCGTTACTATGATTTTCACAGTTGCATCAATAAAATTGAGATTGTGTCCGGGCGTGGTGGCTCACGCCTGTAATCCAAGCACTTTGGAGGCCGAGGCGGGTGGATCACGAGGTCAAGAGATTGAGACCATCCTGGTCAACATGGTGAAACCCCGTCTCTACTAAAACTACAAAAAATTAGCTGGGCATGGTGGCGCGTGCCTGTAATCCCAGCTACTCAGGAGGCTGAGGCAGGAGAATTGCCTGAACCCAGGAGGCGGAGGTTGCAGTGAGCCGAGATCGCGCCATTGCACTCCAGCCTGGGTAACAAGAGCGAAACTCCGTCTCAAAAATAAATAAATAAATAAATAAATTAATTAAATAAAATAAAAATAAAAAATAAAATACAATAAATAAAATAAAATTGGGGTTATAATAAAATAGCTCCCATTTTTGTTGTGAGATTTAATTGAGTTAAAATCTGCTGATACTTAACTATATTTGTTTCCTTTTTATGGCCTGTGTAGGCTGTTGTCAGGAAGGACAGTTTAAGGAGAAATGGGGACTCTTACTGGATGAGTCTTTTAAGGTCTCTGAAACACTTCAACACAATTTTGTAACTTCATTGAGTCATTTAACTCAAATACCAAGCATGGATGCCCATGAAGGTAGAGAAGTAGGAGCAGGCTGCAAAGCTCTCAGGAAGTGGAGCCCCGAGTGGGGCACATAAGCACTTGACTCTAGGCAACATCTTCCTAATCTATTCAAGAGTGTCCTTCTTTAGACAAGTCCTCAAAGGAGTTTGCTGGATCTCTCTCCAATTATTGTCTGCTCATTTTGACTTCATATCCAGTGGAGTTTAGCTGGAATCACCGTAGAACATCAATACTATCCTCTCTTAACAGAAGATTGGAGAATTAAGAGAGCGTATGCCTTACTTCACCTTCTCTCTCTCCTTTACCAGCTCCATCTCCCCCTACCCTTTAGCAGTTCCTGCTGTGGACTCACTGACTCTCTTCATTCACACAGATACAGGAGGGTTACCACTCACAGAAGAATATGGCTGGGCCTGGGCCTTTGCTGGCTGGTGTCATTTCTGGTGGGATTGACCCCCATGTTTGGCTGGAACATGAAGCTGACCTCAGAGTACTACAGAAATGTCACCTTCCTTTCATGCCGGTTCCCTTCCGTCATGAGCATGGACTACATGGTATACTTCAGCTTCTTCACCTGGATTTTCATTCCCCTGGTCATTATGTGTGCAATCTATGTTGACATCTTTTACAGCATCCGGAACAAACTCAGACAGAACTTCGCTAACTCCAAAGAGACAGGTGCATTTTATGGACGGGAGTTCAAGACGGCGAAGTCCCTGTTTCTGGTGCTTTTCTTGTTTGCTTTGTCATGGCTGCCTTTGTCCATCATCAACTGCATCACCTACTTTCATGGTGAGGTACCACAGCTTGTGCTGTACTTGGGCATCCTGCTGTCCCATGCCAACTCCATGATGAACCCTATCGTCTATGCCTATAAAATAAAGAAGTTCAAGGAAACCTATCTTTTGATCCTCAAAGCCTGTGTGGTCTGCCATCACTCTGATTCTTTGGACACAAGCATCGAGAAGAATTCTGAGTAGTTATCCATGAGAGATGACCCTCTGTCTCATTGACCTTCAGATTCACCATCAACAAATATTCGAGGGTCTGTCTGCCTGGGCCAAGGGATTTTTACATCCTTGACTACTTCCACTGAGGTGGGAGCATCTCCAGGGCTCCCCAATTATACCTCCCCGACTCCACTGCTCTCCATGTTTATTTCCACTCCATTTTTTCCTTGTCCTTCTTCTCTAATTCAATGTTTTGGAGGCCTGACTTGGGGACAATGTATTATTGATACTACTGTCTGTTTTCCTCCTTCCCAAATAGAAGAATAAGTCATGAAGCCTAAAGGATGCCTCGTTGACTTACTGACAAAAGGTTCTAGGTGGGCTGAACATGTGTGTGGTGGTGATTCAGTTCCATGCCATTGCGGAATTGAGCAGAGAACCTGTTCTCAGAGGGTGCCTGGGAGATGCTGGGAACAGAAGGAATAAACTGAGTTTAAGGAGGACTTAAACTGCCGAATTCACCTGTGGATGTTTTGAGTAAATAAAGGACAATAGCTAACTGTCGTGTAGCTCTTTGCTGGGGTCACTTGGGGCTTAGAAACCCAGCTGGCTGCCTTTGGCACTCAGCCTGCTTGCTACTTGGAGCCGTGTGGTGACATAGGCACCCTTCTTACTCTTTGCCCCAGAACACCCTGCTCCTTAATCTCAGGTTTGTCAGACCATTTGCTAATTTTATGAACCATTCATTCATCTATTGTGAGAGAAAGAATCCTGTTCATTTCTCCTGGTGTTTCATTCTCGTAGGAGTAGTGGGGGAAGGGCAAAAAGAGACAATGGATAGCTATTATTTGTTGAGCACCACTTTTCTTTCCTTTTTTTTTTTTTTTTTTTTTAGAGACGGGGTTTCACCATGTTGGCCAGGATGGTCTTGATCTCTTGACCTTGTGATCCGCCCACCTCAGCCTCCCAAAGTGCTGGGATTACAGCCGTGAGCCACCACGCCTGGCCTCTTTTTCTTTCTTTCATTTTTTTTTTTTGAGACAGGGTCTTACTCTGTCACCCAGGCTAGCGCATAGTAGCTTGATCACAGATCACTGCAGCCTCAACGTCCCTGGCTTGAGGGATCCTCCCACCTCAGCCTCCCAAGTGACTGGGGCCAGGTGCATGCCATCAAGCCCAGCTATTTTTTAAAATTAGTTTTTATAAAGACAGGGTCTCTTTATATTGTTCAGGCTGGTCTCGAACTCCTGGGCTCAAGTGATCCTCCTGCCTTGGCCTCCCAAAGTGTTGGGATTACAAGTGTGAACCACTGTGCCTGGCCTGTTGAACACTTTCTATGCACTAAGTTCTTTGGATGCATTATCTCCTTTGATCCTGACAATCTGTGAGGTAGGTTCCACCATAATGATCATCTCCATTTTGCAGAAGAAAAAACTGAGGCACAGAGAAGTGAAGTAACTTGTCCATCGTTTCCTAAGTAACAAATAATAGAACCAGAAATCAAGCTTAACCCTGCCTTACAGGGCAACTCAAGTTTCTTGCCACCTATTCTCAGACATAAAGAGGAACTTGTAACTTTAAAGCCCAAACTTTCAAGATCATCTTATGTACAATTAACAGACAGACAGGTACGAACTACACCTTTGTACACTTGGGGACTTCCAGTGTTTTGCCTTAGCTGCTATTGCTGATCTCTAATTAATCAGGATACCAGACAGGATAGAGTGCCAGTCACATCTTCTGAGCATTGACTGTGGCTTTAGAGATTCAAGGTGGCATCTCCCGTTTGGTCTATCCAAATTTGCTGCTGTGAACTCTAACACCCAAGACAATATTTAGCTTGACAAGAGCAAAAAGATGGATATTTCAATTAAACAATATCAAAGAGAATAAGTGTATCTGAAAATGAAATTAATTCTTAGCCAGTCCTGAAGGTTTATCCTAAACCTAATTTTAGGCCAGAGCCTGATAACCAAATTTATCTTGTTAACACTTCATTTCAGTAAAGGAACCTTGCTTCTCCTCCAGTCAGCCAAGGAATCCAGAATTCTAGGTGTTTCCCCTCTAATTTGTGGTGGTTAAAAGACACCTCCAGGACGAGGCCCTAGGTTTATTCTATGGCTTCAGGTGTCTCAGACACACTATTCACCTTGGGACAACTCTTGCCCCATTTGGAGAAATGAGAGGAAGGGTCTTGCAGCCCTAGTCTCCTGGTAATCTTCACACAATGCTTCTTAATTTACAAACAGTTTCTAATGTAGTTGCCATAGAAACACTTAACACTACTCTGTCTTTCAAAACATGATTTAAATGGACCACTTCCCTCAAGACAAAACAGCATTCTGTCCGAAGCCGATTGGTATCCTTAGCTCCTGAGTTTCAGAACCTCTTTTACCTTTTTTCTTTTCTTCCCT